GTGCGTGTGTGCGCGTGCGCGCGTGCTGCTGCGGGGAGGCTGGGGGCGTGCGACCCGCGTCCGTGTGTGCGGTGTGTGCACAGGCGTGCGCGAGGGACGCGCCTGCGTGCGTGTGAGCAGCGTGCCGGCGTGCACGCACCCGCGGGCAGCTGCGATCAGCGCAGCGGTGCGCGTTGGTGTGCGAGCCATGCAAGTGCGTGTCTGTGAGCCTTGCACGGGGCTGCGTGTGCAGCCATGCATGGGTGTGCATACGCGTGTGTAAGCTGTGCACGGCCGTCCTTAGGCGTGCATGCTTGCAACCCGGGCGTGGGCGCACGCGGGAGTGCACAGGTGCATGCAACTTGGGCATGCATGTGCAAGCACTGTGTGCACAGGTGTGTGTGAGTGCATGTGGCTGTGTGTGCAAGCATGTTCAAGGCACACCTCGTCCACACAGCGGGGAGAGGGTGTTTATGCAACCCATGGGCTGCTGCATGGGTGACACACACGCGTGTGCAAACCAAGCACACGCATGAGTGAAATGCATGGGAGTGCAACTCAAGCACAGGCACACAGCCCCTGTGCACACACACAGCTCGCGCACGGGGCTTGTGTGTGCATGCGCGGGCAGGCTCCTGCCTGCACCTCCTGCACGCGTCTGCGGGTGCACACGGGCATGCGAGGCCGTGCCGTGCACACGCGTGTGCCGCTGCTGGGCCGTGGCTGAGCACCGGGGCTCTCCTTGTGCCCAGGTGTGGCCGAGCAGTGGGATGCGGCGGAGTGCGGCAGCGTGCTGGGTGCTGGTGCTGCTGGCTGCCACCTTCTGCGACACGGTGGCCGGCAAGGGCGGGCGCGGCGGGGCCCGGCCCGCGCGGGGGGCGGGCGGGGGGGGCGGGCGGCGGGGGGGGGGGCGGGGCCTCCCCTGCGCGGGGCCCGGTTAGCCAGTGAGCTGGAAGCAGGTGATGGCGTCGAGTACCGTGATGGCAACTGGACAGCTGCTGCCAGCGCCTGGACCTCCGCTGCAACCACCCGGGACCTGCCAGGCTGGGCTGTGTCCTGGCTCTGGCCCCTGGCTGCCCTCCTCCGCCGCTGACGGTTTCGAGGGATCTGACCATGCCCGGTGCAGCTACCAATGCCGCAAGGACTGGATGCCACCTGGGGCTAAGCCCACCCCCCTGGGCTAGCAGTGGCTCCTGGGGCTGTGCCCACCCAGTGCCCGGCCTCACCAAGTCACCCGCCGCCAGCACCGGGGCAGGACCCCGCGGGAAGTCCCTCCACCACCTCCCCCTGCACCCTGTGCCAAACCCCGCCGGCTTGGGCACCCCAGTCACGCCACTCCTCTGTACGCGGGTCTCGTGGTGTTTGGAGGACGAGGAGGTGGCAATAAAGCTGGGCGGACAGCTGGTGTGGCTGGATGTGGGGCTGGGGGCTGGGGACGGGGACCCTGGGATGGCCACCGCCCCGGCACCCTGCCCACGGAGCTTTTATTTGGGGATGGGGGTCCCAGAGAGGGCCAAGACCGCAGTGAGGAAACAGCTCCACAGGGCTTCTGTCTTGGCTGGAGGTGGCAGCTGCGCTCCCCACGGAGAGCGCTGCCCTGCATGGTGACACCATGGGGCAGCCACCATGGCACAGCCTTGCCCCCCACTGCGGTGACACTGTCCCCCCCAGCCCCTTGCAACAGCCCGGGGTCCAAAACTGGGGGGCTGCCCCAGCAGAGCTGCTTCAAATTTCACACCAGAGCTCCATGCCAAGGTGTCCACAGCCCCACGGGGCACCGGGGTGTTCCCAGCCCGCATGGCTGCAGGTGGTGGCCCTGCCCCATGGGACAGGTCTCAGTCCAGTGTCACCCTGCCCAGATATCCTGCCCGGAAATCCCGCAGAAACTTGTAGGCAGCGGCCGGGTAGTTGAGCATTGTCACATTGACGTTCCCTGGAGATGGGGGCAGTGGGTGCAGAAGGAGGTGTCAGCGGAGCCTGGAGCCGCCCCAGGATCCCCAAAAGCCTGGCCCCTGCACCCCAGGCAGCAGAGATCCCCCCCAGAGCACTCACCCGTGCCCGTCAGCACCTTCACCTTCTGCGTCCTGCCCTGGGTGAGGGCCACATGCTTCAGCACAGACTCGATGTCGTCACAGGCCTCTGCCAGTCCGTAGCACTGCACGTACCTGCCGAGGGAGGTGGCTCACACCCTGCCGGCATCGGTTCTCCTCCCCAATTCCCCAGGGATGGTTCCTCCACCACCCACTTGGGACCACAGGCAGCAGATGCAGCCCAGGGCCCCCTCCGGTTCCCCCGCCGGCTCACCCAAACTGCTGCTGCTTGTTCAGGGTGTACAGCAGGTAGTCAGCCATGATGTCCTCCCCCACCAGGTGGTCACGGATGGCTCCTGGAAAAGAAAGTCAAGCCCCAGCTCCTCCCAGCCCTGCTCCGAGCCCTGGCCACCCCTCCTGCTGTCCATGTGCCATCGCTGGGCATCCAGGCAGCATGTGCTGCCCTGGGGGGGCTGTGAGCAGCAGACTCCCGCCCCAGCCTCAGGTACCAGGCCCAGCCAGGGCTCGAAGCCGCATTGTGGAGTGCCCCCAGCCACAGCCTCCACCTCACCGCACAGCGCCAGCTTCATGCCCGTCTCCACATCCCCCAGGTTTGGGGGCAGCACGCCAGGCGTGTCCACCAGGTACATCAGGGGCTTCTCGCAGACCTGGGATGGAGGGAGGCAGGGCAGTTAGCATGCGCAGCTCAGTAATTAGCACCATGGACATCGACATGGCTAATGAGCAAGGCGTTGAGCTCTTTTGTTAAAGTCACGCTGGAAAGGGGACCTGAGCAACCCTTTGAGATCAGGTCTGCATGCCTCGAGGTTTTCCACAGCTCCTGCAAGAGGACATGGGGAGGGCAGAGGCCAGCACCCACCCAGTCAGCTGTGCTGTGGGGACAGTACCTGGATTCTGGTCAGCACTGCCTTGGTGACGCCTGGCTCACCACCAACTGCAGTGGCTTTCCCTTCGGGGAAAGGAGAGACACAGTCAGAGAAGCAAGCAACGCTCTGCGCCGCCACCCACTCCACGGCTGCACCAGTGGCTCCTCCCCAAGCCCAGGCACCACAGAGAATTACCCTTTTTGAGGTGCAGCCTCCGCAGGGAGTTGATGAGTGATGACTTGCCCACGTTGGGCACGCCGATCACCAGGATGCTGTACTCAGTGCTCTGGAAGTGAGGAGAACGTGGGCAGGGAGCGGCCAGTTATCGGCCACCCACCCCAGGAGCAACGGGAAGCCACAACAGTGAAACAGCCCGGCCTTTGCCGGCGCTTCTGGCATGCGTGTGAGCAGCCTCGTCCCTCCAGCTGGAGAGGGAGGTGACCTGCAGATGGCCACCCTGACTCCCTGCACATGCACTGGCAGTCTCACTGCCACCTCTCACCTCGGCCCTGTGGTAGCGTGGGCTGTTGCCCACCAGCTTGGCAACCAGGGGAACAATCTGCAGAGAAACACAGAGAAGGCTGTAACTGCAGCTCCATGCCCAGGCCGGCAGCAGCCACTCACTCAGAGGACACTGTGCCAGGAGGATGTGCAAAATGGGGGCCAAGCAGAGGACGGGGCGCTTTGGGTAAGCTGGGAAAGAGGGTTGCTCTGGACCAGGCAGTGCCACCTTCTCACGGTGGGGCACTGAAGCTTCTCCACAGGACTGGGAGATCAGTGCATGGCCCTCGGCTGCCAGCAGTGAGGAGCAGGGCTGGGCACAGGGCTGCCAGCCCGTTACCTTCTTGATGTTGCCATTGTTCTGGCAGTCAGTGAAGACAATGTGTGAGCATCCCTGCTGCTTCAGGTGCTCCAAGGCTGTCTGAAGGGGATAGGCAAAGGCATTGCTGGCATCTGCCTGCAGTGACGTGCAGGACCCCAGCCAGCCCTGCCCTGGAGCTCACCGGCTGCCGGCAGGGATCAGCCAGGTCCATCTTGTTCA